AAAATCCTACGCCTATTCGTATCCGGACGAAATTCCGAAAGTTTTCTCCGACGCGACCAAGAACATTCACACACTCAAAAAGGACACGTCGAAGTTCCTCTTATCCCGGAATTCCCTACCGTTGAGCCCAATTCCCAGTGCACTCGCTAAGGCACACGTAAATTCCCATGTATTTCCCGACTTTGCAAAAAGAAAAACAGAACCCAGAAGTCAAAAAAGCTCTAAAAAAAAAGGAAAATGCGGCACCCGAAAGCAAGAAATCAAAACGGGGTTTTCCTGGGGTTGGTATGATACAAGCAAAAGAAAGGGTACGAAAGATGGCACAGGTTCGGGAAGTGGTTCATCACATATGTGACGCGCAGGGGGTTCCAAAATTATGCGATTTCCTGATTGCATGGCATGGCGAAAGAAAGAGGGGAGAACAGAGTGATGCATGAGGAACCAAGCATATCATCACAGCAAAAGAAGTACAAGGAACGATAACTGGGTCGCGGATGAGATGGCGACAACATCCGTGGCAAGATCTCCGCAGCCCTGTCATATGCAACCCTCTGCCTCGTGGAGATCGTCCAGGTGACGCCATCATGGTCCACCTGACCTCCGTGTGCTCTGCACCCCTGTTCGTTGTCGTCCGTCGAATTTGCGCGTAGGTTGGCGTCATCGTCGATGGCGTGATCTTCGCGAAGCTTACTGACCCGTGCCGATGAAGGGAGGAGAGGAAGGGGAGGGCGGGTCAAGTGAGTGGGATCTACCGCCTAGTTGGAATAGGCCAGTAGAGGCGGTACATGGAGGGGATCTCGCGGGGATGACGGGGAGGAAGTGGGGGTAGGAAGCGATTCATCCCTTCCATCGTCACCAGGAGCTCCTCATATTGGATGATCCGGTGAAAGCGGGGGAAATGATCGCCGTTGCGGGGAAGGGAAGCGAGGTAGTCGCGATAGAAAGAAGAGAGGGTGTGGAAGAGCGTCGCTCGAAAGATCTCGAAGTGGCGGCAAGCGGGGATTGTCCCCATGGCGACGCAGTAAACTTCTACCACGTTGCATCGCTCCTAGCAGCGCTGAACAGCAAGAGATGCCAGCATTACATGGGGGCAGCGGATTGAAGGGAGGCGTGGGGGTGGACGGTGGCGAGTAGACGGGTAGAATAGAAGTCGCGGAAGAGATGGGGATGGAAAGGATGGGAAGGGAAGGTGACGGGGGTACGGATCTGCTCAAGGGTGAGGAAGTCAAGGGGTCGGCGAGACAGCGTCCGAGGACGAAGGCCTATCGCCCGCATCGATACGTGGGCGAACTGGGGAACGGGTGGGGCTGGAGGAGGAGGGGGATTGGCTCCGTCTCCGTCGAGCGGTACTTGAGGTGGCGGCTGCAGGGTCGCCATCTTCGGGCTTTGGCGGCTCTGGATCCCTGGTCGGATCGCTACCGACGCGCAGGCTAGCTTCGCTGGCGAACTCCAGCTAGCGCTTCCCGGTGGCAATTTCTTCGCGCTTTCATGCTGCTTGCGGATCTTCCGCCTCCGTTCCCGTACGCGTCGCTTCCGCTGGCAAGGCTTCCCACTCGGATCCGGTTTCTTCTTCCTCCTCTTCTCCTTCGCTCAGCTCGCCCTCGCTATGTTCACTATAGCTTCCCTCCTCCGATGTTTCCTCGTCGTCGTCTTCTTCTTCGTCGTCGTCATCGTCGATCACCACTTCCTCTGCCCTCGGATAGAAGGTGTGAGGGATGATCTCGTACGGCTTCAGATACTCCTGCCACGATGGTAGGGTATCCTCGTCCCTAGGTTCCTCCAAGCACGCGGTCCACTGAAGGTACGGATCCAATGATCGCTCGAAAATGTACGGAGTAGGACTGTCGTCACTCTGAAAATAGATGTCGGGCGAGAGATCGTCTGCCAATTGCACGATCGGTGCGATAAGCTCCTGCGCAATCAGGTGGCGTCGACCTGGCCGTACCGATCCGAAGAGAAGGCCAAGAAGATCTCCTTCCACGTTAGTCCTCCAAGGCTGTATGATCAGCAGCTGCGGATTCTCGACCCACGTGGGATGCTCACTAGTGCCCGTCCACGTCACCTGTACTCTGGCCAAGCAAAATGACAGTTCCTTAAAAGTTTCGCGCCACAATCGCCAATGTCCAGGATTGATAAGAGGGACTGAAAGAGGCTCGAACGAGAAGGAAAGAGAAGGGTGAAGATCGGATTGCCAGAAGGTAGGGAAGAGAGAGGGGAGACCAAAGATAGAGAGAGGAGCGAGAAGAGCAGCGTGGTTCATTGGGGATGGGGGAAGGGGACGATGGTTGGGATCGCAACTGGCCGCTCTCGCGGTGATCGGCGAATACCGTCAAGATCCGATGCAAAGATCGGGATGATGTTATACCCCTGTCGGGCGAGGACGTGCTGCCACACGTTGGACACTTGCTCCGTCCACTCGCGCAGCGAGGCCAAGATCGCGGTATGCCACAGTGGATTGACCGAGCTGATGTCGCCGGTGAATACCGCCACCATGGTGACGTGGCTCGTTCAGGGACCCGCTCGCCGATGAACTGCGGTAACTTCCGCGAATACTATTGCGCGAGGACTTCCTTCGACTCGAAACGTGGCGGCGACACAGATACCTTCGTCGTAGAAGAATCGCATCAACCTCCGAAGATCCGCATTGAGCCGAGGGTGACAAACTTGTCGAATCTCTGAGATGTGGCCACCTGGCTGCAACAGCTGAATGTCAAGAACCCGCTCCGTGATAAAACTCATGGCGAGTTCGGAGAGGAGGACGAAGGACAGGAGGGAGAAAGACGGGAGAAAGTTAGGTCGTCGTCGTTCTCCTCGCTTTCCGAGGAAGAAGAGGGAGGGAGATCGGAAGGAGGAAGGAGACGGAGGTAGGAGGTATGCCGGACGATGGGGACAGAGCTATGGCTGGCACTAGCCTCAGGCGCGATGCGCACTGTGTTGGCGCCGTTGGGTCCGAGTTCGACAACGCGAAAACAGCCAGAGAACTTGGGAGCGAGTTTCCGGTCGTGTGCACATTTACGTACCTGCACTAGGTCCCCTAATTTATATTGGTACTGGGGCCCAGCATTTCCATTCCGGGCCTCGTAGCTACGGACCTGTCTCCCATGGGCCAATTCGGTCATCCTTTGTCTTTTTCGGGTTAGCTTCGGGACGGCCCGTTCCATTAATTCGGTGTACCTTTTGGCCTTGGCCTTGAGAGCTGCACGCGTGTCTCTACCCCCTGCTTCGGCAATTTCCGAGTTACCCCGGTAATCGACACAGGGGAGGCTATTAGTTCGAAGCTGAAAGGGGGTAAACCCTGTAGACTCATGAGGGGTGGCCCGGTGGATCCCGACGATATGATATACGAGCTCGGGCCAAGGACGCGTGTCGTGTACCGCTAAGTTCCTGCGAAGGACGGTTTTAATCATACGGTTGGCATTCTCGGCCAACCCATTCGACTGGGACACGTGGGGTGTCGTATGTCGGAGCGTGACGCCCCTTCGCGCAAGCAGTTCTTCTACCTCACATTTGAATTCCGACCCATTGTCAGTTATGATTTCTTCCGTATCTAGATGGGTATAGAGGAATCGTTCGATGTATGTGGCTATTTCGGCGGCCTTTCGGGTCTTACAAGGATAGCCTTCGATGTATTTGGAAAAATGTTCAATTAAAACTAACAGGATGGAATATTCACCGCGGTTTGGGCCAGGTGGCACGGGTCAATATTTGTCGTGTCCATCCTGACTCGCTGGAAAGGACGCTCTACTTCCGTGGGTACGATCGTGTTTGGTCCCCGTATAGGGGCGCGATCAGCGGCACAGACCAGACAGTTAGCGACAATGTACTTAACGTCATCTCGTATATTGGACCAGAACCATTGGTTCTGGTCTACAGTTGCCTCCGTGACACGTATCGCGAAATGAGCGGCCTGTTCTTCGTGAGTAGATCGGATTCAATCGTATCTCTGGAATGGATGGGGAACTGTCAACCACGAACCCGACCCATCAGTTTTACGCTTTTCCAAATGACCGTTGATCCATCGATAGTACCGAGATCTCTCGGTTGCCCTACGTCTGTCGTGTTTGGTGAGGTGGCCCAACAATAATCCCGCTAATTTTGCTAATAAAATTTTATCCGTCCAAACCTCCACTCGTTGGTATTTTTCGCATATTCAGGGCCGTCCGTACGGGCGGCCTCGAATCGAACCTCCGTGGGGAGCTTGTTCGTTCTACATAGGGGGCACCTCCATTCCTTGCTATTCGTCCGATATCGAACGCAGGCCCCGTGAACTCGGTTGACACACGTGGCACATTCTACCCAATCAACAAATCCGGTCTCGAAGGGATGACAGTCAACCCCATAAACTCGTGCAATACACGTGCAAAAATAGCAGAATTTATCGGGAAGGGTGGCGAAGAAAGCCGAGGAAGTGAGAGGGGCAGAGTTAGTAGGAGAAGAAGGGATTGCGGAGGCGAGTGGGGTAGTCATGATGGCAGAGGAGGAGGGGATGCAGGGAGAGCAAAACAGAACAATTAGTCCTCGTGTCACTTACTGCTTCGATAAGATCTCCACTTGGCCGTACGGAGGTCCGATCTCCTGTTCGGGTTCGTTCCACGGAATTACCTCCTCACCCTTTGGAACCTTCTCAGGCCGGTGCAATCGTGTCAGTCCGTCCGCATTTTCGTGTTTCTCGTGTTTTCGATTAGGAATGTCAAAGTCCATACTCTGCAGCACCGTTGCCCATCGCCCGATCATGCCCGAGTAATCCTTCGACTTCTTCAGAGCCAACAGGGGCTCATGATCAGTCACCAGGGTGAATCTTCACCCGTATAGGTAAGCACGAAAGTGATTGATTCCCTAGAGAGCCGCATAGCATTCACCCGTTGGAGCGGCGTAGTTGCGCTTGCAGGCGGGCACTGATTTGGACGCATACTCCACCACACTCTCGAGTCCGCTTGGTCCCACCTGGGCAAGGATCGCCGAAATCGCCTCCGGCTGCCAGTCAGTGATAAGAACAAAAGGTTTTTCGAGATCCGGTCTTATAAGGACGGGAGCCGGAATGAGAGCAGCCTTGAGTTTGGAAAACACTTGATCGCACTCCGGTGTCCAAATCAACGGCTGATCCTTGCGCAGCAGATTTGTGAGGGGTCCCGCAATCGCCGCGAAGCCCTTGATAAATCTTCGGTAGTACGAGGCTAGGCCCAGAAAGGCGCGAACTTGCGTAATAGTCGTAGGCACCGGCGCGTCCCTGACAGCTGCCACCTTCTGCGGCTCCGGTTGGAGTCCTTTGTCTGTCACCACGTGCCCCAGGAAGGAAATGGTGGTGAGGAAAAACTGACACTTCTCAAGCGCCACCTTGAAACCTGCATCTCGT